TACCTGAAGTGCACGTCATACATTTTAATTACACTTATATGAAATGCCCAGAAAAGGGCAATATATAAAATACATACAAGGACATATATATATATATATATATATATATATATATATATATATTATGAAAGGGTAGAGGAGTTCATCGTGACAGAGCAGAGCACTAGCTGGAACTAAAAACAAGGCTAGAGGCTGTTCCAGTCCATACGTTAATCAAAATTCATTCCTGTTCCTAATGTATTTGAATTTTCTATTTCACTGTTTCCACACTTGACCAGTATGACTTAGTTTATCAATTTTAATAATCCGTTCAAAGAATCAGCATTTTTATTTTCTTCATTGTTACTTTTTTATCTCATTAATTTCTAGTATAGTCTTACTCATTCTCTTCTACCTGAGGTCTGATATGATCTTCCTTGGTTCTCGCTCGGGTAGATTATTGATTTTATAGCTTCTTTCCTCAAATAGAGAAATTACACAAATAAAATTTCCTTTTATGTACTGCTTAGCAGTCTCTATACATTTAGACTTTGTGTTCACATTATCATTATGTAAGCATAGTAGTTAGCAAATTTTAGTAGTGCCCACTTTAATTTAGAAATATTTTGCAACTTTCTACACCTATTACTGATTTCTAACCTGTTGTAATCTGCACACTTATTCTGTATTATCCTTATCATTATTTAACTGAAATCTGTGGTTTACTCCGGCTTCCTTAGTTTTAGCTAAAAGCCTCTCCTGTTCCAACCCCTCAGGAAGCCCCCTCAATGGTCGTGTCTGCACAGACACTGTACAGCACGTTCTCTGGTTTTCCTTGGTGATGGTTGCAGTTCCGAGGAGCACAGACCAGATGCTTTGTAGAACATCTCAAAATCGGATCTGTCTGATGTTTCTATCATAATTAAATTGAGAATCTGATGTTTTTTTTTTTGGGGGGGGGAGAAAAACTACAGATGACACTCCTTGGGAGGGGTACTGTAACACTTCCTGGAGGGCAGAAAAATTCCAGATAATTTATGAAGCCATTCCCTGAGGGTGGAAAAAAGTAACCTGAATTGTTCTGCATAGATCTCTTGTATGCACATCATCATTACAGATTCAAGGATATTAATACTCCGGGTCATAATGAAACATTACGCTATCTGGATGATCAAATGTTAGCAACTAGGAACTTTTGCAGCTGATTCCATGTTGCTCTTACATACGTCCATCATTCACTCCCTCATTCACTCCAACATGTCCGTACCATCTGGTCCCACAAGATGCGGCAGGCTCATTTTATATATCCCTGTTCTGGTCTTAGGACCAATCTTCCTCCAAGAAACCCTGGCTCCTATTTCTGGATAGAAATTAAGATCTGGGACAATGCCTGTATTTTTTATTATTTTGACCCACAGACATTTACTGAGACATGTTTGATTGCCCAGAATTTTACCTGTGTTGACAAAACTTCCAGCTACAATGTTTATTCTGTTCTTCTCGAATGAAGTGTTCTATAACAATTTACAAGGCGACGGGATTAACGTTTCTCATATCTTTTACACGCTTACTGATTTCTTCCATCAATCCAGCCTTACCTACAAAGGAAGGCGGTCGTGTTTCCAACTCTGTGATCTGACTGTGAGAACTGTGATCTCTTCTCTATTTCAGTTTCATTTATTCTTGCTTTTGTTCACATCTGTGTTTTGTGATTATTTCTTGTCTTTCTGACGAACCACCCACTTCTCATTACGAAACACCTCACAACACTCGCGATGCTCTTGCTCGAGGTCCACACTGTATCAGTTACCGCACGAGACCCCATGCCCACTGCTGCCTTGCATCCTGTTTCAACCTTTTATTTTTAAGATGTTTGTAGAGTTATGCTTCAAGTGTATTTATTCCAAGCAATATGTGATTGGTTCGATGCTTCGTAACCAGTAGCTGCTTTATACATACTGGGTTTCCATTCGTTTTTGTTTAAATTAATTATTGGCATATTTTGACTCAAGTCAATCAGCTGACGTCACATTCTTCACACTGGTTTGTTTTCTTTCATTTCTCCTTCTGTTCTCTTCCAATTCTTTAACTGAATTAAACATTTTTTAGCAATTTATTTTCATCTCCTCTCCTCTTCAGTTACAACTCTTTCCATTGTTGGTGCCACAATGTGCAGCTCTACCTTGCTAGTCTTTCTATAGTTCAAGGCCCTCACCAACAGAACTTTTAGCAAGAGGCTATGCTTTTTTGTGCCACTTACCCTATGGCAATATGCGTGTTCTAATTTGCATATTAATGGCTGCAATTTTTACTTCCAACAGGTAGCAGCCTGTAAAGAGATCTAAATAGAAAGGAGGTTTATGAAGACTGTGACTGGTCTCACCTTTTCCACATCTGCTTTGTCAGGCGCCCACTGCTTTGGCTAGAATGAGTTTACCATCAGGTGACACTTCCTCTCTCTCAGATGATCTTTCAGCTTTTCTTGTATCTTCGCTGCTACAAACTCCCCTTCAACATTACTTTTGCCTAAAAACACCTCTACCTCACATTCCCCTTTGAAGGAGATTTTCACTCTGCCTGATGTCAGGGCACCTGCACCTGCCCTCGCTCGCAGGCCCTGCTCATCCTCACCTTCTCTGTGCCTGGCCAGGCGCCAGTCACTTTCCTTCCTAGCTCTCTTGTAGTTTGCCTTTTTCTCCTGATTGCGCTCCCATAGTTTCATGCAATTTGTCTATTTTGAGACTTGACAGTTTTTTTTGTTTGTTTTTGTTTTTTGTTTTCCATATCCATCTTGTTGGGGGTTCTCTGAACTTCTGTGTAATAGTGTTTTCCACTAATTCTGGAAAATATTCATGTATTTCTTTGTGTTTTTTCTGTCCTAAAATTTCTCTCTTCTCTGAGACTCCAACCAAAAACAGCATTAGGTTGTTTTTCGTGTCTCACAGATCTCAGACACAATGTTCCTTTTCCTCTGTGTTGTCTTTTTCTTTCTCTTTGTGAATATGTTTGGAAAATTTTAATCCCTCTACACTGCTCTTACTTCCTTGGTGTATACAAGCTGCTAATAAGTCCACCGACATAACTCTTCTTCTCTGGTGCTGCGGCTTTTCACCCCCAGTAATCCCACCAGGTTTTGAAAAATAAATCCCATTGCCGGCCGCTCCCCCGTCGCTCCTGCCACCTTCTGCACAAAGCCGGTGTCCACAGTTACCACAGCTACACTATGACCTTGGCCACCTCCTGGTCCCCAGTTTCTATTGACTGTTTCCCCTTGACCCTGGGTATATTCAGCTCAGTTCTTAAAAACTGAATACAAGAACTTATAGACTGAAATTAGGCAGATGCACATATGCAAAGCTCTTCATCTACGAGGGTATTAGCTGCTGGGTTTTCTGTTGTACAAACTGCCACAGGTGTAGCAACTTCAATAACACAACACACACTTATTCTGTTGTGACGCTGGTATCTGTCATGGCTGTGTCACTTCCCCGAAGCCTGATGGATCATTCCCAGCCTCGGGTGCCCGGCCCCTGGCTACGGCCCACTTTCCCTCTGCTGGGTGGTGCCTGCCTACCATCGCATCTCCTCTGACCCACTCCTGCCTCCCTCTTCCACTGGTGGGAAGGGCCCTGGTGATTATAGTGAGATAATCTTCCCACCTGTGTGTGGGTTCTTGCCTCAATCCTGTCTGCAAAGGCCCCTCTGCCACCCAAGGGCCATGGCCGCAGCCTCCGGGGACTGGGGTAGGGAGACTGGGGAGCCTCATTCGACCACCTGCCTTTGCCAAGATAAGCACGGGAGGGCACTAAGCTTCCCCTGAAACTCACACTTCTCCGTGTGTAAGCTCCTTTAATCACCTGAGGTTAATTTGGGAGAGGGAGATATAATTACCACATATTCTTTAAAAGTTAGAACATTTTATTCCAAATTGTTCACAATATCATATTCCAAAGAGATGAGGGTTTCCATCAGAAGAATTTGAAATCATGTATTCAACTGAAGAACACTAGCTTCAGGGATGAGAAGACCCTCCCCATCGGAGGGTGGTGGCTGCCGAGACCCCTAGGTAAACGCACCCCCCCTTCAAGCCTCACCCTCTCACAAAGCCGCACCGAAGCATGGATGTCCCCCACGGATGCTGTCATAGGTCCTGTCAGAGGACAGACTCAGTAATTGTGGAATGTTTGCATGGAAGACGTGATGATTTGTTTCTTTAGGTAGCAACCATTTGCTTAGGCACAGGCAAAAGTACTTTGCATATGCTACTTCATTTCTAGAGCACTTTTCTAGCCTAGAGACCAGTTTTCCACCTTGGATGCTTATCAAAATTTAAAAATTTACAGGTAGCTAAAACTATGGCGAGACTCAGGTTAAAAACTAGACAAAGAGGATACTGTCTTTGTGCGGTGTCTTTTTTTTTTTTTTAAAGATTTATTTATGCACACAAGAACTGGGGTTCCGGCCTGAGATATGGTGGTGGGCGGGGGGGGGGGGGGGGTTGAGAGGATTCACAAAAGACAGAACGGGAAGCAGAACAGGCAGAGGGACTGAAATCCACTGCTGAGGGGAGCAGCGGGGAGACAGGAGAGGTCAGCTGCGCCCTGTGGGTCACTCACTCCCTGGCTGGGGATCGAACTCTTCTACAGTGGCCGGTGATAGTTGATAGTGCTGCGGTTTAACCCCCTGCACCACCAGGCAGGGCCCCCCATCTTTCCCTCAAGGCTGTATAAGCAACTACTGCCTGCAGACAGAACTGAGGGCTACAGCCATTTCACATTAGACTTTCAAAAGCACCGACTTTTTTAGTGTCTTTAATCAAGATCAATTTTTTAAAAACAGATGCAGAGTTCTAATGTGCTATTAATCCAGCTGGGAAGCAGCCTAGACGGGGCTTTCGTTCAGTACTGTGCTAGCTACTGGAGAGCCAAAGATGAGGCCCAGGACACGGGCCTCTCTGCAAACAGGAGGCAGATCTCGCGGCACTGCTGGCGAACACGGGCGTGGAAAGGTACTCCACACACCTGGAGAGCCCGGCAGCAAGGGGACGCGCCGGGCCGCCCGCCGGCGGCTGACTCCAGGGCTGTACACAGCTCTGCGCAGCAGCAGCCGGGACTCGGTGAACGGGATGCAAGCTGCCAGGCTCACACCCTGCAGACGCCTAGAAAGCTGCATGTGAACCTCACAGAAAAATGCCAAAATAACCACCGGGGCTTTCAAAAGCAAAAAGCACATGTGAAAAAAAAAAGAACTGAAGGGCCCGTGAACAACATAATCTATGCTTTGGAATCTAGTTCACATGCAATCGACAGAATCACAAGAAGCCACGAGCAATTCGACACGAGGTGAGCGTGCAGGAAGGCGACTTGTCATGAGGCTAGAGAAAAAGGGAGGTCAACCTGGGAGCCTCGCTAGTGGGACGGCCCCGCTCAGGCGGGGAGGCCTGTGGTGGTCTCGCCCTCGAGCCAGGTGAACCCCTGCAGGATCCCCAACTGCCAGGCGAGGCTCCCCTGTCCAGGCGGGGCCCCTTGTTTCCAATTCCCTCTGCGTCACATTTTCCTTCATCAGATCTTCAAATGATCCAAGAGGCCAGCACTCACCCGGAGAGGGGCAAAAAGCACGGCCCGGGGTGGTGTGACACAGGGTTTGTCCACACCCCGAACTCGACGAGGGCCTTCAGGGAGGTCACCCCTTTCGCCCTGCAGTCACACATGGGGAAACGAAGACACTGGCAGGGCGAGGTGACCCCGGCAGCGCGAGGTGACCTGGCTCAGCCCCGGGCTCTCCCGGCCAGCACAGTCTAGCTTCAGGCCGAGCGGGGGCTCCCTTCTCTCTGCGTCACTCAGGCTCCGTTGACACGCACTGCACAGTCCTTTCTATATCTAAAACGTCATATCGGGCTGCGCATGTACAGAACCAGATTCGATACTTTCTGTTGATAAATTCCAAAAGGTCAGAATTCAATTAGCTAACTACTGCTCTGCAGTAGACTGATAAACTCATCGTCGACCATGCATGGTCAAACAGTCTTTATAAATGGTAGATTTAGGGCATTTAGGGCATAAGCGGGATTGTTTGTGATTCATACCTGTTATAGAAGCCTAACGAAAATCAAAGTAGGAAATAGCCAACAGAGGTAGAAGTAATTACTCCTTTTAAAGGTGCGGTGACCCACAAGGTGTACAGGTCACACACATGTTCACAGAGTAACAAAAATAAACCCTGAATAAAATGAGACCTCAGTTATGTAAAACACTGGGCTAAAACGTAATCATGATAATACATTTTGCAGCAGCTGAGAAAAATTAGAATAGATATTAATAGCTACTATGTTTACAGCAATTGATCAGTATGCATAATAATTGTGTATCAATGATTTCATTTAATTGTAATTCTGTGCACACCTCAAATTCAACATGCCTCAAATGCACTTGCTAACTTCCCCCCAATCTTATTACTCATTTTGATCAACCATATCACCCTCTACCCAAGGGGCTAAGTGAGACACTATAGCGAATATCCTCTACCCCTTTCTTTCCTTGAACTTTACCAGAAATCGCTCCTTTTTTTTTTTTTTTAAGAGTTCTTAAATGTATTCACCCTGTCTAGACAGTCCTTATGTGGAAAGTTTAGGCACGTATTGTACAGATACCAGGTCAAAAGTTAAAAAACAAGTTTAAGATTCTAGATACGCACACCAAAAATCACCTTCCACAAGGAAACTACCCCTTCAAGATGAAAAATACAATCTATTCCACGTCCGAATTATTTCAGCTTTTAAACGTGTGCATCTAAGTAAACGATTCTGAAATTCAAACACATGGACGTTCTCTGTTATAAATCATCTTTCACAAGTAACTTCAAGTTCTGACCTCAAGTCCACACTTCCAAAACATTTCAGGAGTCTAAACAATCGACATTAAACGAAGCCCTCCCTAACTTTTTATTTCACAAATGGAAACTCAAAATGCCACGTATAATCTCATTCAGATTGCTGATTTGTTGGGATTTCATCGATCGGCATCCTCTCAAAAAAGACTGTCGCAGGTTCTGGTTCAGCAGGTACGTGTCGAGGCGGTAGAGAGAGCTCTGAGAACGCCCAGCTTCCACGCCAGCTTGGGTACTCTCGCCATGGGCCTGAGGAAAGTTCCAGAACAGGAAGTGCCTGCATCTTTTCATCTCAGCAATGGGACACTGTGGCTGTAACCTAACTACTTGAAGCTGTAAAATGCTCAGGACAGCGTGTGGCACCCAGCACAGCACGCAAACACCTCTGCATGTTTACCGAGCTCCTATGCATGCACCTGCCATCTCCTTTAACCCTTACCTAGCAAGCCACAGATTATCGCCATCATTTTGCGGCGAAAGCTAAGTGACTGCCCAAAGGCATGCACCCGGGAAGCACCGGGGCTCAGATATGAGCCCAAGTCTGCGTGGTTTCGTAGAGCACAGATTTTTTTACTACATCACGCGCCTAAGTCTAAGAGTCAGCAATCACAAAGCGTTCCATGGTCTGATTTCACCAAAAAGAAGGCGGGGGCTGCCAGGAAAATTCCCTAAAAATCAACGAAGACACATTTTGATAACGTACGGACAGGTAGTGAGAAAACGCCGGGGGAAGCGCACCAAGAAGACCTTCACCTAACAGACGCTAGCTAGAGCTCCCCCAGGGAAGACTCAGGGCCGGGGATGGGCAGCCGCAGGTCACTCGTCAGAAACCCCGTCACATGGTCCCCGTCTCCGTGACGAGCCTCTCGGCCTGGTCTGTTCGCTCCCGGCAGCATCTGTCACCGCCATGAATGGCTGATCATAAGGACCGTGTCGCCTTCTCAGTGCTATTAGGCAGATGGCAGCGCTAAATCCAAATGATGTAGTACATCCCCGGGTGGACTCTGTCTGCGCACACACCATCACTGCACAGTCCCTGTGATTAATCTCGTGTGCTCTCAAGAACAGGAGAGAGTGAGCTGACAGTGGCAACTGATGTATGGCACCAGCCTGCCCCGGCCCCACTGGCTCCCCACGTGGTGAGATGGCACGAAGGTGCCCGGCGCTGGCGAGGGGTGAGGGGGAGGGACGCGCCGTCGGCGTGAGCTGCTCTCGAGGTCAGCAGGAGAACGGGGCCCGGTCTGGAGAGAGCTGGGCGTGACGAGCCCGTGGCTTGGCCCAGCTCACGCCCAGAGTGGCACCTGTACAGGAAGGGCTGGCGGGCGGGATCGTGGGGTTCCGGGGGTGAAGAAGACAGGCCCAGGCCTCCCGCCCGGCGAGCGCTCCGTGGGTGTCGCCTCTCCCCGAGTCCATCGACGTAACCTTGCAAAGCAAGCCCTTCCGTGTTTATAATGGCAATCGAAGGCCTTCCCTGGCGAGACGCCAGGCTTCTGAGTGCGCCGTCACACAGCCGAGGGGCGGGAGGGGTAAGCCTTGCCCGCTGCCTCAGCCCATGGGCCCGGCGTTCAGGGGCAGGGTGGATGCGCCTTTTCCCCGAGAAGAACGCGAGGCGCCGGCCTCCCCGGCAGGCCCAGGCTGCGGTCCAGCTCCACAGCCTCCGTCACACCTGGCCCGCCGGGCGTCTCGCAGGGGCCCGCTCACAGCGCCTGGCCTGGGCCTCGGCCGCCCTGCCAGCTCCCTCTCCTCTGAGGAGTCCCTGCGAGCCGAGTCACCGCGGGCGCCCAGCATGACGTGGGCAGGCCGCTGCCCTCTGGCCAGGGTTGCACGGCGCGGGTGGGAGAATCTCTGGGGTGCAGCCTGCCGCTAAGACGGCCGCGTCCTGAGCAGCGAGGAGCCGAACCCCAAAGGCCACGCCACGTCCAGGCGCACGTGACCGTCACAGCCCTGGCTAGTGGGCTCTAGACCAGGGCACACGCTCCTGCTTTCTGGAGCCCAAGACCGCCAACGGGTGGCACAGAGCGGGTCTCCCTCAGTCGTGCCGACACGAGTGACCGTGGCCAGTCTCACAGTAGGCCCCGTTCCAAAGGGAAAATGCCAAATCACTTTCAGCCCTCCACGGTCAGAGCCCGCGAAGCCCGGACGGGCCATGAGGGCCACGGCAAAGGGCGCTGGGCACCAGCCACCCAGGTACCTGCTGCTTCCCTGGGAGCCACACCGGGGTGCACATGGCTCCCGGAAGCTCCCTCACTCCACCTGCCTGCACAGAGGGGCGGAGGCGCTGTCCTGCCTCGTAAACAGGGCAACGGTCACATTTTACGCCTCTCCTCTGGGTGGTGGGCTTAGAGTCGCACAAAAGTCCAGGCTCAAGAACCCGCCGCTGTGTTCCTGGGGCGTCGCACAGGCCGGCCCCCGTGGAAGGCGGCGGCTCTCAGACCGGACCCCAGGCGCGGGAGGCAGGGTCCGCTTGGAGCTAGACGAGAAGACGCTCGGCAACGGTGGCTGCTCCTGCTAACGCCCATTTCACAAATTTTAAATGTTTTCATGAAAAGCACCATCCTGGAGATTGAGACGCAACATGCCATCGGAAGGACCAGCGAAACCACAGAGCACGGTGGACACGAATGCGTCCGTATGAAGCCTGCCCAGAAACTAAGTATCTTTAAAATATCTGCTTATTTTTATGAGCTTTATTTCTGCCACCCAGTCGTGTCCACAGACCCTCCGAGGCCCCCGGCATGGTTATCTGCCCTTTTCCCTTCCTCTTTTGGTTCTGTTTCATACTCACTACAGGAATCACATTTTTCTTTGGATGATGATGAGAGCAACTGACACCCCGCTGTTACCAAGTGCCCAGAATTCATCACAGTCTTACCAACTACACTCATCATATTGCACAACTGCAAGTGTTCTTAGGGCTATAAATAAGTCAATGAACGTGAATTTCTTTAATTGGAACAAGGCGGACACCTTTAAAAGGGTCTGCAGAGTGGAAGCGGGGTTCCTGGCGGCTGTGGGGCCTCGGGGCGCCCGGTGCCCACCCGCTCTCCTGTCCTCACGGTCTATTCGGGATATGTGTTTCCATAGGAATCGATCAGTAACTCTTTGGAGCTGATGTGTATTAGAACACTTCCAATAGAGTAAAGAATAGCTCATATTTCTCTTCCTGGTGATTGTGTTGACAGCTTGTTACTCATTAAACGTGCAGAGGCAGAGAAACAACGCTTTGTTCCACACCACAAGATTAGCACCATCGAGGTCATTACAAAATCAATGGGGAAATGTAGCTGAACTAGACTGAATTTTCTATCACTCTGTAGGGATTCTCATTTGTACTCTAATTTTAATACAAGGTATTTGAAAATTGGGATAAAAAATTCCTAATCTGTAAGACCTCCTGAGAGAAACTGCTGTTTCTGTAACAAAACAATGTCATAAAATGATCACGAGTCATGAAGTCGAAAGTCACCACCGAAAGGGCCTGCGCTCAGCACCCCCAACGCCCCCACCCCCACCACAGGCGGCCACAGCCCCGCCCCTCACTCTGCTTTGTTTTCAAGTGGCTGCCCACCTAGGAGCCGCATTTAGGTTAAAGATGGGAGCCCACCCCGCCCCAACAACACCCAAACTGCCCTCGCCCACTGACTGGCACCTGCTTCTGAAGGCCTTCCCTGTGTGCAATGGGAAGCAGCCGTGACGGAGCTGAGTGGCGTGTGAGTGATGGGGTTTGCTAGGCGAGGGCAGCAGGCCCCTCCCTCCCGGGCCCTCCAGGAGCCCCTCCCTGGGGGGGTCTCGCCCCCACACTCTCCCTCCTCCAGGGCCCCTCCCTCCCGGGGGCCCCCCACTCCCAGCTCTGCAGGCCCTCATCCAGCTTGACTGGTGGATGACACGTTCCCTCAGGGCGTTCCCTCCTCCCAGCTCCCGCAGCCAGAGGGCTGCACTTCTCTCAGAGCGGCGCCCCGTGGCCTCACTCAGGTGCCACGGGATTGGCCAGGTGCTGCCGTGGTTCGCGGTCAGCACCCACGCCACAGGCGCCCGAGCCAACCTCCCCCAGAGCTGCAAAGGCCTTTTCCGCGGGACCCTGCCCCGGACGTGGAGGCAGGCGGAGTCCGCCTCGGTGGCCTGTGAGGTGGCTCACCTTTGGGCCGGGGTGCTGTAACTGTTATCGTAGGAGTCGTAACTCTGTTCATCGTAAGTAGGGCCGTATCCATCATCGTAGTCCTAAAATATAACAGAAGCACAAGGAAGTTGTGAGAAGTTTCTGGAAAAGACAGAAGCATTCTGCTTTTGGTGATGCATTCAGCTAGCTCGAAATTCCGCATCTAATTATAGTGTAACGGAAAATGTAACAGTAAATCCCATGAGGTACGAACCTCCCAAAAAATCTCCACAAAAGCAAAGAGAATCTGGCAAAAGCCATCAGTCAACATTTCCAGGACTCTTGAAAGTAACCAAAAGCTTACAGAGTTCTAGAAACATTTTTTTTTTTTAATTGCCGGAGTCCTGTGCGAAGAGGGGGCTTTGTGATGCTTCGCCTTGACCTATCAGCCCCCCGACCCCCACCCCCACACACACGCCCAGCTGTGCAGGAGTCACATCCCACAGGGCTAACAGGCTGGAGACCCCGTTAGACTGGACAGAGCTCTTTGAAAACCCCGCTCACCCGCTCATCCTGACTTACAGCTCACCCAGTGCCAAAAGACTCTGCATTTAAAGAAAGTAATTAGGGACAATTACTTGAGATTTCAGCTATTTGAAATGGTGAGAAAACTGGAGTAAATAATGAACCCATCACGATGTTCACAGAGGTGGGGGGCGGAGGCGTGGCACGGAGCTCTGCGAAGCCGTGGTGTGCCCCCCGGGTCTGGACGGCGCTGCGTGGGGGCAGTGTCCGTCACGTCCAGGGGAGACCGGGTCTCCTCTGGCAGACGCAGGCTCCGCGTGTGAGCACCAGGGCAGCGCCAGCTGAAAACTGACTGCGCGTTAACACGAGCCCACAGGCTCCTGGCAAAGGCCGGCGCGTACAGGCTGGGCCGTCAGTAAGATCTCCGCCTAACTGTAGCCTGACTGCTAAGGTGGCAGGGGAGACTGCGGTAAATCCCCCCAGAAAATACACTTGATAGAATTAATTTGGAAAAATGATTGAACTAAAAACAAAACAACACAAAAAGAAACCCTGGGGAGGGCGGAAAATGTGAATTCCACTGTGGATACATTGTCGAAACGGTCCAGTTTCACACCCGGTTCTAGTATGGGACACAAGCAACGATGACAGTATGGTGGACACCCCACCAAGCTGCTGAAAGACAGCAGCCGGAGAGAGAAGCCGCTCAGAGCGCGAGGCACCTCACTTAGCAAGCTCACGGCTGAAATCTGAGCCAGAGACACAGAGATCCCAGATTCCAAAGACAACAAGGAGTCAACTAAGAGAACTATACATACCCAGCAAAACGTTCTCTTTTTAAAGATTTATTTATTTATTTGTTTGTTTGTTTATATAGAACTGGGGTACAGACCAGAGGTGCAGGGGGTAAGAGGATTCACCAGAGACAGTGGGGAGCAGAACAGGCAGATTGGCAAAGTCCACTGCTGAGGGGGCAGCAAGGAGACAGGAGAGGCCTGCCGCGCCATGCGGGTCACTCCCTGGTGGGCTGGAACTCGCACGGAAGCAGCTGCTGCGCCCTAACCCGTCACGCCACCAGGGAGGCCCACAAAACTATCTTTCAAAGTGGAGCGATTCAGATACTGCGAGGTAAACAAAACTGAGACGTGCCCTACCAGAAGCACCAAAAGGCGGTGCGAGAGGCCATTACACCGTAACTTGAAGTCGTATGAAAAGCAAACACCCTGGGCACCCGGTGGCTACCCTGGTGCTTCCACGCACCAGCCGCCTGACCAGAATCTGCACTTACCACTCGGAGAATTCTGTTTCTGATCTAAAGAATCGAAATTACAAAGGACAGATTCTCTTCGCGACTGGGATGCCGAGTGACCCCATGTTCGGCCTGCTGGGCCTCGCCCGAGCCGCACCCGGTTATCCTGCCACCAGTGCCCGCGATGCATCTGGATTTGCAGTCTGCTTAGGTCCCTGGATTATGGGCGTGCGCATTTTTACATTGCACTGAAGATTTGATAAGCTTGAGTTTATAATTCTCTCACGGTGGCGTTCATGAAGATGGCACAGGAGGGTTTGGCCACAGGGGTGCACCCCCTGCCATTAATAGCAATGTTTGTTTAACTGACAATGCTAAGAAAATGATAGGGAGGCATAAAGATTGTGAGGAGAAAAGGGAGGCCGGGGGTGACTGGAGTGGGGAGCAGAGGGAATGCATGTCGACCTTCCGCTGTTTCGGTTTCATGGTCAGAGACAGGTCCCAGGCTTAGAGCGGCGGGGCCGGGACTGGGGGGCCGGAACAGATGGCCCCACGGAGGAGGGGCTGGGTGGCCAGACCGCCCTGTCTATCCTTCGGTGTTGCCAGCGCCTGGGATTCGGCCTCATGAATTCCCCTTTAGGTGTTTCTGAGGCTAGGGAGGAATTCAAAAGCAAATGGAAGCATCATTTGTCATTTGTCACGAGTCCACGCTGGATGCTGGACTCGTCCCTGGAGGCCCGAGGGGCCGCTGCAGATGGGGAAGCCCTCTGGGGGCTTCACACTGCTCCGGCGAACACTCTGCCCTCTGCTCAGCTCCGACCTTGAGCCTGGACGCGCGTCTCACATCTGCCCCAGGGACACCCTCCCTGTGATGGGCCCGCACACCCCCGCGTGCCTGGACACCGCCAGCTCCTCCCACGGGGGCCCCCTCCGACCGCCACCTCCCCAGAGACTCCTCCTGGCCGACGCGGGGACGAGGCTCCTCTTCTGTGCCCTGCGACAGGCCGCCAGTGCAACTACGGGCCAGGCCGCCACCTGCCTGGAAACCACTGGCCACCAGTCGCCCCTCCAGCCTGAGCAGGGAGCTAACAGCCTCCTCGGGAAAAGCAGCCAGCTGCCCAGGCACCCTCAGCTCCTCACCTGCCCTGAGTTTCCCCCCAGCTCGACTGCATGCATCCAGAGGCATTCCTCACGTGGCCAGAGCGAGGCAGCTGGGCACCCATGCGGTCATCCTAGGTGGCTGCTGACCTCGTGGTCAGCCCGGCCCACCCTGGGAGGGCTGCTGGACACATCTCCAGTCGGGGCTCGGAGCGCGGAGGCAGCTGTGGGGAGACAGGCGCCACCTCGTGCTGGGCGCCTCTGCCTGACGGCCCTGGCCTGCCGGTCTATCTCCCAGACCCTCGCCCGGCCCTTCCGCTGTTCCCCCACCGTGACTGCCTCGGAACTACCCCGACTTCTCCGCCCAAGCAGTGAGGAACCCAACTGGCCTCCCTGGCCGCGCTTCCTCGTCCACCTTGCACCAGAACCAGTCCGCACAGGCCGATCAGGCAGGCTGCTCCCTGCCTGCAAACCTCCACTGCTGGCTCCCGATCCTACTAGATGAAGACGAGACCTCGAAGCCCCCGGAGCCCTTCCTGGCGACCGGGCTAGGGACAGTGCACTGTGCCCAGGGGCAGGGTGTGAGTGCCACTCCATATCTCGGCCCAGAAGCATGAGTAGCCATCTGCTGACTGAATCATGTGAAAAGGAAAAATACCAGACGGTTTCACTCATAGTAGGAGTGCCAGTACCAGGGAGAAAGTAATAACATTAGTGAACAACTATATACCAGAGACATTTTACAGGGGAGAGTGGGGAATGGGGTCAAAAATGGGGGGGGGGGGCGTGTACTGGACTATGGTGATGGCACACGGGTGATTTGGTGGTGGTAAACCCATGGGGATTACAACTGAGATGGAAACAGGCACAATATATCTAAAAATAAACTATTATTTTTTTTTAAAAAAAAAGGTGTATTTGGGCCCTCCCTGCTGGCACAAGGAGTTAAATCTCAGCACTCTGCAGCTGTCTGCGGCCGCTGCAGCACGAGTTCGACTCCCAGCCAGGGGGTGACCCACAGGGCGCAGCTGACCTCTCCTGTTCCCCCGCTGCAGCCCTCTGCCATGGGTTTCTGGTGCATCTGCCTGCTGTCCTCTCCACTCTGTCTCTGGTGAAGCCTCTCACCCCCTGCACCTGTGGCCTGTACCCCAGTTCTTGTATGCACAAATAAATAAACCTTTATGAAAATAATATAGGTATTCGATTTTCGAAAGTCAAAGCAATACTGAAAATAGAGAACAGATCTGGACAAGAAATAAAGGTCTAGTAATAAAACACTTGTGGCGAGAAAAGACTTGCCTATTCCTCAAGCTACACGTCCTGGTCTTTATCTCTGATAAGGGAGCCGTGGCCTGGATCTTAGCCGACCGCAGGCAGGAAGGAGACATGAGTTCTGAGCCAGGCAGCGTCTCCATTCTCCATGCCTGACCCCACAAAGCTCGAGCCAAAATACGGCCAAATTCCAAAGAGATCTTGCTTTGAAAAGAAGAGATTTTCCAGGATAAAGGAAACAGCATGACCTATTTAATTCTATTTCTGTCACAAGCAAAATCAAGCATAGCATGTAAGCTGAGAAACTCATTTTAAACAGAGAAGAATTTACAAAAGATGGTGATTTTACACATGTTTTGGTTTTGAGTCTTTTAAAAGGAGATAATTAAGCTACATAACACCTCACTTTAATTAGGATGATAACTGGTCATTTCAAAATATATTAAAAAAAAAAATCTTTATCTAATGCAATGTTAAAAGCTTATCAAGTCTTGTAATGAATGTTTTGAGTTTATAAAATATTATAAAAGGCTGAAAACAGCCTTTTAATAAATTCCCTTTTGCCGGGTTCAGATTCACAGCAATAACATTCCCATCAGCTCCACCCACAATGTGAACAAATCATCTAGCCAAGTCACTTTATAACTCAGGGCCAAGTCACAGCATGAAATGAGGTGAACCAAGACTTTTCCCACAATTCTCGAAATGAAGCATCACTAATTTAACATCAGGTCATGTGCCCAGGTGTTCACCTGACAGCCCTGGAAAGGAGCTGTGTGGCTCCTAGCTCTGAGCCTGGACTGGAGTCTGAGGCTGCGTCCGAGTTTCAGTGCTGAATCTCCCCAGCGCTGCAGCGTGGGGAGGCCTCTAACCTCCCTGAAACTCAGTCTCACGGTCTGCAGGAGGGGATCATGATCGAACCATATGCTGGTCATTTCCACCAGCTGTGGGAGGATTAATCCAATATGTGGATAAATA